CATAAATCAAGTCAGTCAGATATTTGTACCAATAAATCAAATGCTCTTCTGTAACAGTTATAAGTTTCCTGTGATTTTCTTTATACATGTTTCTTTTTCATTTATTTTGGAGCTGCTAAAGTAAGACACCATATTTTTAATATCTTTTGGGCTGGCATTTCCTAAAACACGGGTTATCGTCTATTAATTTGAATGTTTACTTTGATTTCTGTATTTAAAAATAAAAATTCTGTACTCTACACTGTATACAATATAACTTATTCTCCTGAATTGATATTTTTAAACCAATCAAATTCAGAGTTAACTTGCTTTTTCAATGCGTTGCACTAAATATTTTCCAGATTGAGCTAATCGTCCTGATGGGACCACCCTTGAAAGATCTGCTGAGTGGTTGAAGAATGAGATTTCCAGCATAGTTGGATCTAATATTAGGTAAAGGCTTAATTAATAGTAAGATATGATTGAATAACATAAGGAGTCATTAAACTAAACATACATCTCATTTCCCCTCTCATATCACTCAATGTCACGTCAAAAACCTGCAGGCCTGTAGCCAGCTTTTGCCAAGGTGGTTCACTTTTTAAAAAATAAGTTCCAGGGGGTTCACTTTTGACAACTTTGGCCCAAATATGCCGAAAATGGTGAGAAACTCCATGATTTTGAAAGAATTTTTGGCCACTCAAACCCCCCTGGCCTGTGGGCCTGACCTGTATTATAAAATCTCTACATCAGACAGATTAAGAAATTAGAACAATTTTTCAAGGAAATTTATTAAAATCTGCAAGGAACTATGATTAGGTAATATGTCTGACATTGAAAACTCTGACTTTACTGAATTCTGACTTTGTGTAATAAGCTGAAACCAAGATTGTTCTAATGGAGTGTGTTTGTTTATCAAAATGATGAATACCAATGACAGAACACTACCTACTTGCACTTACCCCACAACCCCAGGGGCAATCTAAGGATGTTTCATTCAAGTAAATCAATGTGTTCCTTCTTGTATATTGACTGCTAGGTCAAACAAAACCTGGTTAATGTCTCTGAGTAGTTTTTGAAGAGTCTTTAAGGTAAAATGCCCAGACAATCCATTCAAAATGCCAAACTAATTTATGGGATGTTTCTGGAGCCCTGTTTTGGTATGTTTACATGGACATTCTATGTTTTTTTGTAACCTTATTTGTTAAACATTTGCTGGTTTTGTTCAGACTATTTGACCTATTGCCCCCTGATCCAGGTAAAAGTAACTTCGATAAATATTTAATTAAAATATTACCATATTACAGACTCCGAATGAAATTATGAGTGAAACTATTTTACCAACTGCAAACTTTGAGGTGGTTTTATCATGTGTCCTTTATACATATTTTATAGAAATCAATGAAAATTTGAATACCCTGGATTCCAAAGGCACTTGAATGGTCAATAGAGCAATCCCTCTGAGTTCAAGCATAACTGAAAAGCTAACGGCTTTAACTACTTATATTCCAACTAATCCAACCCTTTCCAAATAATCCACTTAATAATTAAATATAGAAGCACAACATGATCATTAATTTAAAAAAAAGTAGGTTTCTACAAAATTTTGAAAATACATACATTTTGATTTTTAGATTAACAACACATTGCAGTATAAAGCTAGCTAGAAACAGAAATAAATCCTACAAAGATGAGAGGCTGGAATGTGGTGAAAAGATGTTTGTTTAAACGAGGTAAAGTATCCTAATGAATGCTTGTTGAGATAAGAGCTTAATGAATGGATCAGGTAATTATTTGTGTGTCTATGCAATGTTGGACAACTGTGTTAGATGGCATGCATATGGTTGGTTAATTACATGTACAATCAGTGCACATGTTAGAATCCAATCCTGGGTGGGAGTAACACAGTGTGTGTTTATTTATCATTTTCAGATACAAGGTTCTCTACATTTATGCAACCCATGCATAATTGGCATTTTGACCTAAATAGTGCTCACATATCTCGGAAAATAAATGTTCACTGCCTGTAGCGGTATTGTGCTTTTTGACTCATTTTGGCTATTGAACAATGATTAAAAATATTAGATTTTTTATACATATCCCATTTTTTAGGAAACAAAGTCTGCAATAAGAATAATTCTAATGTGATACGTGACGTCACAATAGCTAGAACACTTTTATTAAGATTATTATTATTTAACAATTTTACTGGCCATTGCCAAAGACCTCAATCGCTACATGATTTTGGTCTTTTAACAATGAACAGAATAAATTTTTGGTCATATATTATGCCATAAATCATAAAATCTTGGTCTTTATGCCTTAAGTAATATTAGGTTTTATTGGTGTTTGTGAACATTGTCTCACTAAAACTTTGTGTTCCTTTTGTGATTATTCAAGTCCAGTAGAACCTGTGTAAGTGGAATGCCCTTTGGACCACAAAAGGTGTTCCATTTTTGAGGTGTTTCACTTCCACTTCAAGAGTCCATTAACTTGGAGTCAATGGGCCACATAACTTTCAAAATTAACCTGTTCCACTTGTGAGGTGTTCCCCTACAGAGGTGTTCCACTTACAGAGGTGTTCCACTTACAGAGGTGTTGCATATAGCAGTTTCTACTGTCCTTTAAGGAGAAACAAAATAAATACTTCCCCATATTTTACTAATTGCTTCAGAATGGGAGTTAATTTGTCTCTCTTATGTAGAAGTGCCCTTCTGAGACAATATGTCTGTAAAGCTTGAGGGCAGGATGCTATAAAACTGCCTCCCAGCATAAATGTCAGTGCTGTCGATTCTTCAAAGCCAAAGTCAAATGTCATTTTACTTGGATGAATGGAATAAAAAATACATGCATTAATGATATGCATTTATTGTTTGTTCAAAACAATGTGGGGCTCGGTTTTCTCAAAAAGGTTTTTCAAAAGTCTCATTTTCACAAAAGGGCCAGTATAATCAAAGAAGGGGTTCAAATTGTAAAATATATATATACAGTATTAAGGTTCAAGGAAGGACTTACCAAAAACAATATTATTTCAGCAACTATCCAGAAACATTATAAAGATCTATGGCTCTACCTAAGTAATATTCAATTCTATCATTTCTGCGTGATAGTGCAGATTTTATGAAGTACATGTATATGATTTTTTTATTAAACAAGTATTATTTCCAATGTGTTATTATATACATTATTAATAATTATTTTATTTTCTGTTTACTTCACCAATAACAACTTCTGTTTCACTTCCAGATGGTCTGGATCATCTTCCCATCCTCTGGGTCCACTTGGGTCTTTGACATTATAGTTCAAGTACTGCCCCATCTACCCACCCCTAGGAAAAGTATCTCCTTGTGTGCACCTCATGGGGTAAGTGTAGAATTATTTATATTTGAACCACTCTATGTGAAAAGTGGTCACATATGATAATGATTTGAGCTAAAGGCGAACTATGGAGAATAAACAGGAAGGAGATGCATTTTTGAAACTTTTGATACTTCCACTTCGTGATTTGAAGTTGACCTTTTAAGGTGAAGTCTATTGCAAATTTTGTTTTGTTTTACAGAAACAGAATCATCTCAACATGGTTTTAAGAAGGTCCCTTTTTCCTGATGAGTCATTATTGTCTTTTTTCTTGTTAGTTTGTTAGTTTAATCAGCAACATTCAGTATGGATCCCACTCATAAATTTTGTTAATTGAATTGAAATCAATCAAAAATGACCAAATCAGTGTCTCGTAATTAAATTAATTTCAGTTAAAGTTACTGAATTAATGATAATTCCATATTTCTAATGATTAATATTAATCAGATTGATGCAACAGTGCTGTCATTTATCAAAATGGAAGCAGAATAAAATCATCAACTCCAGATTTGAAACTAGGATCTCATAATCTGCTAATTACAAAGTGTTAATTAGTAATTAATTAACTTATAATGATCTGATTTCACACTTAGTGCTCTGTAATGTGTACCAGAGAGGTGACTATGGTTTCCTCCAGGAAGCTCCCACAATAAATTCCAGTAGAATTCAGACTTGGTGCTGGTCTCCTGATTTATCATGTCCATAAAAGTACTTATGTTAGTCATATTTTAAAATGTATGATGGAAGAGAATGGAGAGAAAGAAACCCATTTCATCTATATCTTGAATTTTATTGATTGAAAACTGGTGGAAATGAGTTGATTAAGTTAAAGAGAGAAATTTCTCATGGAATAAGTGTGTATCCAGGTTTTCATTTCAATTATGAGTGGACATTTATTAATGGAAGTCTAAAATTGCTTCAGAATTATTAAACTGCAATTGGTAAATTATGTCATGCCAGTGAATTTCACAGGCATCTTAAATTCTTGGTATTTTAGTTAAAACTGCCTCCAGAGGTATAACTGTTTTAAATCTTATGAAGTTTTGATGATCTTTTTGCTGTTTCATTTTGTGGTTGATTAGTACAAAGATCTGTCAGGAAAACCTAAAAATAAGATCTTGTGGCGATTATATGTCCTCGCAAATAAACGGCAAAATAAAAGAATCTGCAAGGGAGACAATTTAGTATCTTAGACACCAACATCTTAATGTGAATAAAAATGCCAGATAAGCTAGTATTTCTTTCAATTTGTAGAGATAAGAGCATAAAGTTGGTAAGAATAGAGTTGCAATATTTTGCCAGGATGATCTGTGGTTAAGTTTCACAGATTTCCAGATGGCTTCTGAAATTGTGGGAATTTTGGCAAATGTCATTTAAACCACTTCACAACTTCAGAGAGCATCAAAAACAACACTGTGGTCTCTGGAGGACAAAACAACATTTCCCATTACTTGACAGTCTAAAGATTATGGTAAATGCTTTGAAATGAAGTACATACATTATCTCAATATTATTTTCCTGTATGATTTCTGCTTTATAGGTTTTTGGTTTGTGTATTTTAAATTTGCCTTTTGTGATTTCCTATACTGAATGTAGCTATATGTGCCCAGTCAATGATTCTACTAAAACTTCTTTAAATGGCATATTAACAGAACATTATTTATATTGAAACACATTTATTGTTCCAGGTAAAATAATTAGATTAGATAAATTCTTCCTTTTTTCATTTTAAGCTTCGAAGCACTTACTAGGAGATGTGGCAAAATATCATCTTTTTGGTTTATTTTTATGTAATTTTAAATCTCTAACATTTATATTGTCGACATTGGTTGCAGTTGGGTAATCACAGATTAAGCTATCATTGTTAATGCCTGTCCAAATCTTTTGTAAGTCTATGGAATTCACTCTATGAACACTTATGATAGTCCGTAAAACACACGGGTCCCTTTCACGCCCAACAGAGTCAAATTTGTGATTTTGGATATGTTTTGCTTTAACTTTTTCTGCAAGTATTCCCGTGATGTACACATCTTCAAGCCAGAATATAGGGGTGTTCAAAGCAGCTTTATATAAGGCATTTATAATGTCATTTGTTAAAACATATGCAGTCCCTGAACAATAGTCTGGGTAAGTCTTTTTATGGAATTTAGATTTGGGGGTGAACCATTTAGATTGTGGATCTAAATCCGGACGGGCTCCTATCTGTAGATGTCCCATAATTGTCCATTTTATGGGTTGGAAACTTTCTCTAAATGCAATGTCCTTGAGCAGGTTTGGAATGTTAACAAACATATCATCGTCTGTTTTTAATAAATATTTTACATTGCGACAAGATGATTCCCCAAACCACTTTAACATGCCTATTGATTTCAAACTGAGATTTTGATACGAGTCTATAAAATTGTCTTGTATGATGTCCTCATGTTTAACACTCTCTTCAATTACATATTTCTGCATGTATGGATCAGGGTGAACCGCTAACATGAATACTAATTTTGTCCTTAATAAAGGGTCCTTTGTGACGCTAGCCCAAGTTTTCCGAATTACTTTCCTTTGTTCAAATCTATAAACAGCAGAGCATACTACAACAACCATAACAGTGTCGTCATCACACACTCTTTGATTGATTAAGAATCCTTCTTGGTCGACAATTGACGATGGTACTTTTGACGCCTGTATATTGCGCCTACTTATACTGTGTGGATTAGAGTCTGGCATTGTCATGGCTTCATACTCTGTGAATTGCTGAATATTCCGTAGCTTTGTCTTACTGAGCATTGAAACAGCTTCGATAACATCTTTCCGCAGAGGAGGGTAGAGATCTGTAGCGTTAGATAGTCTGTAAAGGTAAATAACTGTCCGTGGATATCCATTGAAGAACATGTAAGTGAACATAGAAATACTGCAGCAGATCGCTATAACATTCACCAGTAATGACCCCCTCATGTACTTGTAATGTAGTCGAAGCATCATCCTGAAAAACATAAGTCAGAATCATAAGTAAACATAAGTCATTAATCATACCAGAGAGTATTTCTTGTGTTATGTTGAATTGTACTCTGGATAAAATCTATATCCAGTCCCTACCATTGAGTAATCAATATAAGAGTCCTGAAAAACATAAGTCAGAATCATAAGTAAACATAAGTCAAAAAAATAAAAATAAATCTAAAAAAATAAAATCTATATCCAGTCCCTACCATTGAGTAATCAATATAAGAGTGCAGATGTAGAACATCTAACCATGTAGTCAGAACTTAATATAAGAGGAACAAGTTAGATAAGGTTGAGATAATCATGATGTTAATTTACAGAGTCACGCTTGTACAACCAGTTAGTGGTTACATCAACAGTCTTTGAACGCAGCAAATATACAGGTAAAACAAGCTAAAAACAACAAAATAAGGTCAAGACATCTCTTTTTACCTTGTTATTTTACAGTATTGCAACACCAGAAAAAAATCTCAATTAGTCGATGTTAAGACCTTTACAGATAGAAGATACATGAGCAACAGGCTTTACTTGGGGTATTTATGGCCAAGCAAAGTTCAGTTATCATTTGGATATACACGTACCCTTTATAGATAAAGCAGGAGAGGTTACCTATAAAATTAGAAAATGAAAAGTTATAGATCAGGAAGAAATAAACTCTACAAATACCCTGCCATGAATTAAATTCAAAATTCCATGACATCTCTTCATTTATTCAGCCTCTAAATAGAAATGCTGTGGAATATGCACAGGCAGATACCCTATCAAGCACAAGAATATAGTGTTGTAAATTAAGATGAGGAGTCAGCATGTGTTTTGACTGTTTACTGATATGAAATATTCTTTTCCAATTTTGAGACTTGAGTTACTGAAAACTAGATCTCTGAATTTGAAAAAAAGTGAACAAAAATATTTATCTGATAAGCTTATCCAGGTACTTTTGTAATAAAACCTGTCCAGATTTTTGCCGAATAAAATTTGATTTTCATGGAATTAATGCAAGATTTCGCTCATCAATTATTTGTTTGTTTTTCTTTAATGATTGGAAACAGACTTTTTCAAACTCCTTTGTACAGTATATGATAATCTTTTATCATATGAGTGCAATTTGCAATTACCGAATTACTCTTTAAATATGGTTTATAGGGATTTCAATATTGAATCAAGGGGAAAATTCATTCATATGACAGTTACATATACCTTGCGTTTAACTTTTTAAAGTGTTTTATTTTAACATATACAACCAGAGAAATCAATTATAAGTCATTTATTTTAAGCAGCCCAGTCATTTCATTGTGATTTAATGTTTTGACACTCACCTAGGTCTGCAAGAAATCTGAGAATGTCTTTGGTAAAGAAAACAGCTCATGTGTATTCCAAAACATTCCGGTTTCAAAGAAATCATACAAATTAGTAAAAATAGCTCACTAGTGGTAAATAGGTAGACATGTTTGTGAAATAATTTCCAAAATATTCGTGTCGTATTTCACTTTTCAAATATGTTTTGTATTACAACCTGATTCGCTCTCATATAGGATGAAAGTTGAGACTTTGAGAATCTTTTCACATACATTTAGTCATAATCTTGGAATTGTTCAACAGTAACTAATATGGAATTTTATATTTTTCCCACATAGTTTGGTTTAGTTTATTTTTGTTGTTTTTGAGAAGTCAAAAACAACAGAAAATTATTTTAACAAATACAATGCGAATACAGCACAGCCTACTGAACTTGGCTTATCAACAAATCATACAATAAATAATAACAAAATTAATGACATAAAAAGGAACTAAAAACAAAATTATTATATATCCTTGAAAGTGATATTCAACAAAACATCAAGACCACTGCATGATTAAGTCACTAAAGAACCGCAATATCCTTGTTTTGTCGAAATACACTTAGTTGGCAACATCAGAAAACACAAATTTACTTTAAATGAGTACATTCAGGAGGTGAAAGTTTTGTTTTGAAGTGAATAAAGGGAAATAGTTAACTTGGAGGTATATAATACTCAATAAATCCAAATCCAAAACCCAAAATTGGTGTGAGTACTAAAACAAGCTTTTCTATAAAATTAAATATAGTTACTGGATGAAACTTTCAGGTATTCATGATAATTCAATTGTCTGTCAGATGACCAAATTTCAAGAATATATGTCTCCATCACTCACTCACTCAGAATTATTGCATGTTTTGTCTTGAGTGCAAATTATTTTGGGACACCCTGTATTTTACTGCCAAGAGGCCTAGAGATGCAATTTTTGGATCTTTAAGATTTTTTGCCCAAGAATATGAATCTCCTTTCCATTGAAATTGTTTGAGCACTTTGTGCTTCATTCACTTGGATTCATAGAAATACTCAACATTCTTCACCTGGTTCAACCCTGTAAATATACAAATCAACCCATCTTCAATGCCACTCTTGTCGTGTTTTATTCACTCATTTTCTCTCTAAAATTTAAATGAAGTTTTTTTGTTTTTTTCTCACATTGTCGTACACAATGAAGTTACTTATTCCTGGCCATTTTATCTTCATTTTATTCAATTTTGAATTTTAAAAATCAGTGTTATGACATTTTTTCTGTGGGAAAATCAAGAATTTTAACCCCACTGGACTTCACTGACAACACAATACCTCCCTGATCTTGAACCTAAGGGACCCAAGACCCAATGGGAACATTTGTTTAGATATCTCTTTCAAAAATGCTTGTATATCAACATGAAGCAGTCTGTCAATCAACATTCCCAAGAAGGATCTGAAAAACTGTGTGCTTGTTACATGACTGGGCTGTCAGGTATGCAATAAACAAACATTGAACACAACGTCTGCCAAAATGCCAAAAAGTAAATATCTCTCTTTTTCTCAATGAAATTTGAATAAAGTCATTCATTTTCTTTCATAATTGCATAATTTATTATATACACTACTTGCCTGTATAGTTTTTCCTTTAACAATAACAATCATTTTACTCATATTTAGTGTTTGAAATTGTGACAACCTCAGCATTTCATTCATTGGGTGAACCATCCAGTAAGCAATACTCAGTTCACCTGTCATTTCAATCTGCACTGATAGTTCACCAAATACTTCTAAATGAACAACCAAGTTGTAGATTTCCTATATTTTCTGTTTTGTTCAGCTGCCATGTTCTAAGAATGAATCAAAACTGAATTGAACAATATTTTTGTACTGTATGTTGCCTATCATGTGTGGCATTCATAATACATGAAATAACAACATTCCATTTCTTCTTCTGAGTATCTTTCCTGCTGTTCAATTCTACAGACATATTTTAACCCAAATCCTGTTTAAAACTCATGGTATCATGTGTCTGATTTTTAACAACAGTAGTTATATAAATGATCTTATTAACAGTCATAGATGGACTTTATTTATGAAAATATATAGAACTGATTATCTAATCATTCACCCGGGATCAATCAGTTGCATTAAAAAAATTACTCTTCAAGTCTGTATTCATTGTAATTATGTGTAGAAGTTACTTCTTTTTAATATAAAATAAACTAATCTAGAAAGCTGAGAAATGTTAAAAGTTGCACCTCATTAAGTTGAAAAAAACTATTTTAAAAAAGTTGAGATAACTCGATCATAATCAATAAAATATTCCTAATTGCTTTCATAAAACCACTAAATTCCAGAAATCACATGTTTAACTATGTTCAAATTGCTTCTACCTTACACTCCAGGTGCATCAATAAAGTTCATCCTATGAGGTGTAACACCACCATATATCTAACGGCTTAATCCAATGTTTTATACGGATTAACTGGATTATCTTGTATCTCCTGTGCCTACTTGCAGTGATTACTTCTCCTGTCTTCCAACTGAGCTATGAAAACAGTTTAGCCAGCGTTTATATAGCCTTCTACTGGGCCAACTTATGCACAGCTTGCCAGACCTGGCACCTAATACACTACAACCCAAACATTCTGAAAAACCCACATCCCAGACCCATCTCTTTAGTAGTATATCGGGGCTGGACCTTTAGATGTCGAGGGGTGGGGCTTACATGTTTCTTCTTATGTCATCTTAATTATCAAAAAAAATCGAGCCTGTCATAATTTTTCTCATCATGATTGTTTTAGAATGCATTGAATTGTCTTTTATTTAGTTTCGATACTCAAGCTCAAATATTTCCGTTTTTTCAAAAAAAGTTATGCCCCTTTAAGAATTTTCCCTTGTAAGGAATATATGGAGCACCTCAATGAGAACGTTGTGTAACCTTGAAATACATGCAGTAACACACTTATCCCAATTCTGTTTCATATTCTACCTAGTTTCTAATCAGGAACACTTTGTTTCGTAAAGATTATAGATGCTAAAAGTCAAATAATTGTAGATTATTATGTCTGTGACTAGGAGATACATGTTAGGAATCACATTTGTACTTAAGTGATATTAATGTGAGAACTGGCATGGGAGGGGGGCAAAAATATTAAATTAGTGTAACAACATTAGGTACTTATTAAATTAGTGTAACAACATCAGGCACTTTTTAAATTAGTGTAACAACATTGGGCACTTATTAAATTAGTGTAACAACATTGGGCACTTATTAAATTAGTGTAACAACATTGGGCACTTATTAAATTAGTGTAACAACATTGGGCACTTATTAAATTAATGTAACAACATTGGGCACTTATTAAATTAGTGTAACAACATTGGGCACTTATTAAATTAGTGTAACAACATTGGGCACTTATTAAATTAGTGTAACAACATTAGGTACTTATTAAATTAGTGTAACAACATTGGGCACTTATTAAATTAGTGTAACAACATTGGGCACTTATTAAATTAATGTAACAACATTGGGCACTTTTTAAAAAGTTTGGCCCATTGTTAGAATCTTTTATCCCGTTTGAAATCTACATATACACAATGTATTATGGGGAAAATGAGGTTCTAATAATGTCATAAAAGTCAGAGTCCACTTTAGGCAGGAGTGCTGAGCCAAGATCCATACGTAAAACGGTGCCTCTTAACATATGGTTTATAGGTCCTTCCAGCTTCCACCCAGGGGGAGGCTAACATCACAGCTCTTTATCTATTCTTCGCAAAATGCCAATGAAAAAACTCAAAATGAAACCAGAAGAGTGTAAATCAGATTTCCATGTTTTCTTACCCCTTGTGACCCCTGGACACGTTGAACCGCTGGAAGACTCTTTCCTCAGGATAAAGTATCATTGATTGACATGTCAAATGTAAAATAAGGCAAGAAAAACTGGAATCCACATGAAATAAAGCAAATACAGGGATGTAATGAATACTCTAAATTGTTGAGAAATGCTTAAAAATCAGTCAATTTAACTTTTAAGAAGAATTGTGTTAAAATTGGTCAATCCGTTTTACTTTTTTATCCATGGGTTCTATTGTTTTTGCATGTTGTCCACCTGTGTCCAGTTTACCTTGTTGGCAATGAGAGAGTGACCCTTCGCAAGAACATAACTTCATGCACCTCTTCAAGTCAAAGATGATTATTTGGTCTAGCCTTTATCCAATCAAATATGTAGTCCTAATAATTTTCTTTATCTTTAGCATTTATGTTTGTTTACTTTAATTTATTAATTATAGAGGCAAGTTATGCATAGTCATACAAAATGAACATTTATGTGAAACTCAGACACCTTGTGAAAACTACATCTAAGATGGTACAGATCAGCGAATCATTTGTGGGAATCAGAGGAAAGTGTTATAAGCAAGTGAGAACTCAGGGTCTGAAAAGAAGGTGTCTCAGAGGTATAGTCCTCTCTGGGAACTAGTTAAGTACTAGATCAAATTCTCTTGTTTAAACATTGTTACTTTCTCAGATTCTTCCCTAATTAGTGTGAATGTTAAGGTTTTTCAGATGTCTCAAATGTGACACTTGAACTTTAATTATTTGATGAATATCTTGAGTTTGTTGTTTGGTGGACGCATGGTCATTTTATACTGGATAAAATCTACTATGAACAAATGTTCCCATTATAGTATGAGTGCCTGTGATAGTTTTATGAAGTTTGAAAATGTATTGAATTGATCAAGAATTGAGGCAAGACAAATTTTCAATTTTTCTTGAGAACAAAATTTGCTATTTGATGTTGTTGAATTACGACTGTAAGTACCAAATGCTGTTACTGTAATACAACACTGATTTCATGATTTCATACTACTACACTATATATAAAAAAATTAAATGTTCAAATATATTGTTGCACCTAACAGCAGGAGTTTGGTGTTTTTTCATTAACTGAGGAGTGATTTTTAGATGGCAAGCTAGTTGTCTTGAACAATCAAAACCAGCTGATGTCATATGTGTTCCATTAAAGGTATTAGTGGACCAGTGGCAAGGAAGTGGTGAGAAATCTGATGTACTAATCCAGTTAAAGTACTACTTAAATCATCTCACTTCTTAAAGCCCCTCACTTCTTAAAGCCTTCCCACTTCTTAAAGCCATGTTGCAAATTAATGGAAATACAATGTATGGTACCTTACCAGAAAATCACCATGAGAAAATTATATTTTTTCCTAATGATTCTCCTTTGGTTGTGCATGGTAACTTGCTTGTAATGGAACCATGGGATCTCTTTATATTATAAGGAATCTGAAATTCTCTGATGGAAATCCTTAAAAATCCTTGACACAGGGAACCAGGACAAAAAGCTTATCCTGAGAAAGTAAAAAAATGAGAAAATATTTTCCTATGATAGAGCAAAAAACACTTTATCTATACAAAATCTCACCTTAGAAACTGACTTTATTTTTTTATTTTGTTTAGATGGAGTTTATTCTCTTGGAATGGGTTTTAATGAGTTCTGTTCAGAAAATTCTTCTGGTCAATCGCATTGATGTTTGCCAGGTATGGGACCACACCAAGTGTGATACCATATAAAGTGAAGGCTATCATTTAATGGATTGGTTTTACCTCATTTTAGTTGTTTCACTATATGAATCATCATTTGCACTGACAATGCAAAAAATGTTTGAATAAAATATACTGATGAAGTGTTACATATTGAATAATGCAATGAATGACAAGAATATAGTAATCCACCAATGACAATTGATTTTTTTCTTATGTTGAAAAAGTAAAACCCATATATCAGAACACTTATTACACTCCCATATTAAACAAAACTTGAAATGTGAACACCTCCTAATTTGAACACTTCTGGCAAATTCTAGTCCTGATAAAGAGGAACATTTTCTATATACTATAGATATAAATATGTAGTAAGTTATTCATTACATAGGAATTTTTAGAAATAAAATACTTTAATAGTGACAAGGCAAGGTACTGAAAGCAGTCGTGTAAAATGAATATAAATGTACCAGAAATTTTCTCAGGAATATTTGAAATGTCTCTGTTGGCCTCCAAGATTTATTTTCACACTATGCAAATGTTTCTTTAATTAGTTCTGAATAAGGGTCCTGTCCCTAGCTTGTGGTGACTCATTCCGTCAGCCTGTGGAGGCTAGTATAAAACACTTTCTCTAATTACTTCTGACATAGATGGCCTAAATTAGGCCTGCACGCTAGAAAATAAATAGACCACAAAAGGAGAGTTATGTTCAAAGTTCGGGTTTTTAGACTTAAAGAATTATTTACTAGCTCCAATGTCTGTCAAGGAGTGCATTATGAATGAAAAATTCTACGATGATGTTGTTTTGACAATCTGTTTTTGACTGTGAGCACAAAAAATAATGTGCATATCCAAGTAGATGTATCCTATTTTCTGTAAGGAGCAGATATGGAATGAGCATGTCACTATATCCTCTGGTTTAGACTTTAAAGAAACTATCCTATTAGATGTAATATAATGCACTGAGTTAAATTGCATGTGCAGTTAAACACAAGATACATAGTGTGAGTGTTGGACCTATGTTGTAATAATCAAATGAGTGCATCATTCCATGTTACATATTGTAAAACAGAGCAAAATACAGGGTGGGCCAAAAATGGAACATTGTTCTATCCATTGCAACTTTTCCGTTAGTCATGTATTATCTTTAATACTTTAGGAAATTGAAAACAATCAATTTGCTTCACTAGATCCTGACACCCTGACAAAATGAAAACCATACATTTACCTTTCAAGTAACATATGGTTATACTGAGTTTTGATTGGTCAGTAAATGATAATGCATGTCTAAATATTATTGTCTAAATATTACAAATTAATGTGGCAGTTTTGGACACAGTAATGCAATTTAAGGCAATTTACCCCTGTCTATGTACCAATTGCATGTTTATACTTTGGAAATACACGTCTTAAAAATATAGAATTATAGTACTGAATATTAGAAGTAATTTGGAATGGGATTTAAATGGGAATTGATTAAGTACTAGAATAACTTCATAAATTACATTGTTCATGACCGCAAACACGTTAATGATAATCCTGAACTATGTCAGAGATACCAATGTGTTGTATACCAGTGCAATCTACGATTAATGTAAGGAGAACACAACTTAGTAAAGATAAATTATTGCAATCTACCCCAAACAATGTTAGTTTTGGTCTACCGAGTGTTATGTGATCTTAAACAGTCAGTATTTAGGCAGTACTTAGGGAGTTGTTGATTCTTATAACCACTTGTGGACGGAGGTTTAATGTTTTGATCTGCATTTCTGGACTAGAACTATATAAGACATACTCAACCCATATGGATCAGTAAACATGCATGGTAATATTGATAAGAGAAAACAACCCCTAAAAATCATAATCAAAAAATGTAGTGCAGTGCATTATGATGAGATCAAATATGGACTGGGTCTTTCGTGAACTTTCTAGAAGTCACTTTCTTTTATCAGTGAATGGATGAATTTAGCATATTTTTGTACACATACTTTAAAAGTACAAGTTAGAATATTCTGACTTTAATTCTTGAGAAACGTCTTATTTATTTTGGCTCATCGATGGATTCACGTTTACTAAGTAAGAAATCACTTTCCTTTTATCTCAAGCATTTTCTGAATTAATTATGGCAATTTACTTCTTAGACAAATATGTCAGCGTAACAGATAAGAATTGGATCAATTTGAGCATCCAGGTATTTAGGAAAAATGTGAAGCTAAAATTGCAGCTTTGTTTACAGCTGGGATGCCCTAGCCATAGATAAATTGTCCTATTTTCTGTAAACATAGAGATACCTTGTGGAAATCAAAAACGAATTAATCTTTCAGTGGAGCCAGTGTAAAATACAGATAGTGTCTGTGGCTACATATATTTTGGAAGTTGGAAACATAATGTAGAGAACGTTTTACCTGGCTAGCATTGTGAACACATTCTTCTAATGAACATTTTCTCTACTGAACAATTTTCCTCAGTCTCAAATTAAAATTATTGAAAACATATATCTAGATTATCTCTTCAAGAAAATGCCTTCTTGTTATGTGAACAATTTACCCAAAACTAAAACCAACATTTTCAATTTATTCAGGTTTCAATGTGAAAAAGGATATCATATTTTTAAGTCGTTTGTATATTTGTATTGTGATTTGTGAGATGTGTGTAATGACTCTAGCATGTGTATTGTGATTTGGGAGATGTGTTTTGTGATTTGTGAGATGTGTGTTATGACTCTAGCATGTGTATTGTGATTTGGGAGATGTGTTTTGTGATTTGCGAGATGTGTGTTATGACTCTAGCATGTGTATTGTGATTTGGGAGATGTGTTTTGTGATTTGTGAGATGTGTGTTATGACTCTAGCATGTGTATTGTGATTTGGGAGATGTGTTTTGTGATTTGGGAGATGCGTTTTTGTGATTTGCAAGATGTGTATTGTGATTTGTGAGATGTGTTTTGTGATTTGCAAGATGTGTATTGTGATTTGTGAGATGTGTATTGTGATTTGGGAGATGTGTATTGTGATTTGTGAGATGTGTTTTGTGATTTGCAAGATGTGTATTGTGATTTGGGAGATGTGTATTGTGATTTGTGAGATGTGTATTGTGATTTGGGAGATGTGTATTGTGATTTGGGAGATGTGTTTTGTGATTTGAGAGATGTGTGTAATGACTCTAGCATGTGTATTGTGATTTGGGAGATGTGTTTTGTGATTTGCGAGATGTGTGTTATGACTCTAGCATGTGTATTGTGATTTGGGAGATGTGTATTGTGATTTGGGAGATGTGTATTGTGATTTGGGAGATGTGTTTTGTGATTTGGGAGATGTGTTTTGTGATTTGCAAGATGTGTTTTATGACTATCCTATTTCTCTTTACTTAATCTCTGCAAAAGACGACCAAGGGAGAGTGTTTATAAAAAAATAAAAAATAAAATAAACTTTTCATACAATCAACAAACAGTTGAATAAATTATAGAAAATATGGACATGGATGTCTGAATGACTCAAAATAAAAAGAATATTCTTTGAAAAGTAGATGAAATGATTAAGAAATACCTTTATGCCAATGATAAATATAAGCTTTATGCTAAAAGAATCAAAGCCAAAAGGTATTAGTATGAAAACAGTTATAAAGGAGTTTTAAGAGTTGAACTATAGTCTTAAAGAAACAAACTTCCTAGAACTAGATTTAAATGTTAACTTTCTGACGTGAAGTTAACAAAAAGCTGACAAAAGTCTGTGAAAAATATTTTTGCAGATGTATTTCAGATGTCATGACCCCCAAACTGAGTTAGTACAATACATCACTCAGCAGTGAAACAGTTGCCACAGAAAGTAATGCCACATTAGCTTGTTTTTCTCCCAAACTCATACTTTATGCTTGAATTGTATTGATAAAAGCTACTTTCTCAAATTCCAGTTTAAATGATAAAATCTGGCTTCTAGATTCTGCTTTGATGATAAAATGTCAATCTTCAGTTTCATTTGGTTTATTTTCTGGCAATAAAATACTTGACTAGTCTGTCAACACGGTTAATGACCCGTCCATTGAGCTTACTGAACCTGAGTCTATCATCAATGAACTGGTCATAACTCCAAAGTAAAACAATGATATGAAGATTGTTCTTGTAGTAAATGAATTTGAAGGGATAGAGAAAACTGTTTGAGGAAACAGGCCGATGTTCTATTACAATCCTAATTTTAATTTTTTAACTAAAAGAATATTGAGATATCTATACTTATAAAATGATATGAAGATTGTTATTGTAGTAAATGAATTTGAAGGGATAAAGAGTGAAAACTGTTGGAAGAAACAGGCCGATGTTCTATTACAATCCTAATTTTAATTTTATTTTCTGAACAAAAAGAATATTGAGATATCTGATCAGATGAAGTACTTTTTCCATTGTTGACAATTAAGATCAAAGGATTCTCCTGAAATCCAGTTGGAACTATTGCACTTTCTATGTCACCACCAAAAGTGGTGGCATATTGTTACAAGCTAATTGTTACAGTCTTCAACTTATTGTGGATAGTGTTTGGCATTTGATGTTCGGTGGTTGGTGTTCAGCATTTGGTATTCGATGGTCTGTGATGAATGAAATATTATATTATTGTCAAAACCCGTTCTCATCCCTATTCCTTCTTCCCCTTTATAAGCGTCACACCAATTATTTGACTAACCCAACAATGCTGGAAAATATGACAGAAATTATTTCATGCATAAAAGCTTTTCCTGGGAAATACCATCAAAAAAACTGTATTCACTTGATCACTTCTACCAATCTACCAATCTACAAGGCAAAATCCCCCATTCAATCCCAGATCCAATCCCTTATTAGACTCAGGTACTGATATTGGATATAACCAATCCAAAGAAGTTTTCCTAATTATTGAAAGTTGGACTCATTGTCTTATGACTTGCGCCCACTCTTGCAATAGATAGGATACTAATTAGACTCAGTTACAAAATATCTCATAAAATTCTATGTTTCACCACCCTGTGTTCTTGACAACTGTTTCCTGGTCTGAACTAACACATAAAATAGCAATAAAATATAAACCCTTTCACATTTGCTGTTTAAGTTAATTTACTGGCTATAAGGTTTGTAACTCTTTAGAAAAAAACCTACTTCTACTTTTTATGTCACCACCACAAGACGTGACATATTGTTAAGTCCAACTTTTTTGTGGATGGTATTCAGTGTTTAGTGGTTTATGTTCAATGTTCAGTTGTTGGTGTTCGGTGGTTATCATCTGTAACAAATGGCAGGTGGTGATATTTTGCATGTTAAAGCCTTGTTAACATTGATATTATAGATTTAAATCTATTGAAGCCTAAGTGTACATTAGTAAAGGAATAAAAAAAAGTTAATCAAAGTAGTTTTGCATCAATTTCTTATGTGCCTCTCCCCTAGCATTCTCACCTTCTACCCCAGGTAGGGAAATAAGTTAATAGGATTAGGGGGGGGCAAAGACTTATTCCAAGACTGAATATTTTTATCTTGAATACCTGGTAAAACTTATTTAGAAACAGTTATAAAATAATGTTTATTAAGTAAATTAAAGTGCCACTGTACAGCTGGGAACTAAGCAATGAAAGTTGCTAAAAATTTGTTTATACTTAAGTCCCTAATCAAAAGGATCTTGATGAGGGATTTAGCTAAAACATACATAAATGTGTGCAAAGGTCAATATTATATAGCTAGGGGTGTGAAAATAAAACCCAATGTTTAAAATTAGTATGTGTCTGTGAAGTAATCCCGTGATAAAGTTTCCTAGTTGCAAAAACCATGAAGCAAAAATGTACTAATTGCATTGAGGCATCTAGCCATGTTGAAAATCTCTTGCTGGAGTCAAGTCTATTTCACTTATCTTCTCTTAAATTTGAATGAAGTATCAGTATCCTATATTTCTATACAATTTAGAGTGTGAACGTCATACCTGTATATATTATTCCTTGGTCATTCTTCAGATTTTGACTCGAT